ACTTTGATATTGATGTGATAAATTGAAACTTTAATGGATAATTTAGGATATTAATTTGATGAATTGAGTTTTAATTGGATGTATTTGAAGATAAATTAGCTGAATTGAATGATAATTTAGTGTTAATTTGCTGAATTGAGTTTTAATAGGATGAAATTAAATATTAATTTGATGAATTTAATGTTAACTAATTGAATTTCAATGTTAATTTAATGAATTGAATATTTATTGATGAATTAAATGTTAATTTAGTATTAATTTGATAAATTGAATGTTTATTAGATGAATTGAAAGTTAATTTGATGAATTGAATGCTAATTGAATGATATCTAATATTAATTTGATGAGTTCCATTTTAATTGGATGAATTTGGAGGTTAATGTGATGTCAATTTTTTGAATTGCATTAATTGAACACTTTACAGATAAAATTGAAAACATTAATATTTTAGAAGCAATGCTACATGAACTTAAAAAGTAAACTTAATAATTACATCAATTGATTTTATTGTAGGGCACAACATTTATTGGGACCCCTACCTATTCAATAGTTAGGATTATCAAGCTTAGTTTTTAAGTTTAATTTTTAAATTCATGTTTCATTACTCATATTTTAGATATCAATCCGACAAAATGTCCATCTTTAAGGGATAAAAGTGGCATTAACCAATTAGGAAGTCAATATCTTTGTCATGGTTGATCGTTGTTTGTCATTATCGATATTGATTTAGAAATAGGGTAATAACAGTTTTATCCCGAAAATATGGACGTTTTATTAATTGGGTCTTTAAAGTATGAATTTTGTCAATTTTATCTCTAAAGTATTTTAATTAACATGCAATTTACAAATTGATATTAACACATTTAATTCATCAAATTAACATTAAAATTCAACTTAATTAATATTAAATTCATTCAATTTATATTCAAAACCACTCAATTAACATTCAATTCATTCAATTAACATCCAATAAAAATTCAATTTATCAAATCAACAATAAACTAACATTCAATTTCATCCAATTTACATTTAATTTATCAAATTAA